ACCTGTTCCTTTGCAGGGAGTGAGCACAGGTAAGTGCAGGAGGGACTACCTCCTGCACTACTACCCCTGCTGTGAGAGCCAGATGCTTGCAACATTCCAGCACTGGGCAGAAAGTGGGGCAGGGCTTGTTTGCCAAACTCTTAGGTCTCATAAAGAGGCAGATCTTGGTCTCTGCCAAAATTGCAGAGACATTGCCGAGCTGCTTTTCCTATCTGGAGGGTCAGGGGGTTTAGCCTCCTTTCAAAGTTGGGTGAAAGCACTGCCCAGGGAAACAAAGGGGCTTAACCCTGCTCCTCTGGTGAGTCAGGCACAGAGCTGGAAAGAGAATGCAACCTTGAAAGAAATCAAGATTCTGCCAGTATTTACTTCCAAACACAAGATTTAAGGTGCTGGAGTCCTGTGCCCATCTGTTTCCCGAGCAAGGCATGTAGAGCCTTGCCGTAACCTCTCTGATCTGTGGAAGACTTTCTGCTCCTGCAGTTGCTGCTCTGTCTCTCAACCCTTTTTCTTGTCTATCCGTCATCCCTCTTCACCAAGGGGTCCAAAATCCCTCACCAGCTGACCAGATGTTTTCTTGCTGGGTACATATTGAGGCCACCTCTTTCAGGCATCCACTTTCTTTATCACAGAAATTGCCAGGGAGGGCTGGGATCTATTTCCCGAGCCCAAACAAGGACCATGTACCCCTCTAGCACTTATTTCTGTGAGGTGATCAGTTAGCAGCTGGACATCAGCAAACAAGGGACAAGAGATGCTCCTGCACAGTGCAAGGCAGGCCCTGCTGCCAGGAGAGCATCTCTGATTCATGTGATGGCAAGACCCTTGTGCCACAGGGGATAGGACAACCATTGGCACCTGCCAATGCTTAAAGCAACTGCTACATGGTGAAGGCTCCAGAAAATTTAGCAGGGAGCAGGGGTGCTGGGAAGCAGGGCATGGCTGTTTGGCATCTCTTCATAAGGTGTGCAAGATGTGCCGCAAATCTTCCTCTGGGCATCGCACTGAGAGCTAACAGAAATGGCATGGGAGGAAGATGAGAGGTGGCCAAGAGTCCTTTCTTTGAGAAGACCTCATCCTTCTGGCAGGGAACCTAGGGGGTGCTGGAGGGGACACTAGTGGTGCCTGGCCCCGCACAGGAGGAATGTGGGCCATTCCTGGCGGGGAGGGACACGAGCACTATAAATAGTTTACTTAACACACCATGGAACGCCCCGGCCCAGGCACATTCCCTGTTGCTGGCACTGAGATGGCAGCTGTTGAAAAAGGCCAAATCCAGCAGCTGCTGCTGGTTCTCTCA